TTCAACTCCGCCGGGAAGGTCACCAGCCGTTTGGTAGCGTATGTTTATCAGCTCGCGACTGCTTCTGCGCAGAGCTGATAAGACGAGCGGACGAGACGACGGTGAGTTAAACAAGGTTTATGTACAGCATATTTACAGAGGCGTTACAATTTCGGCACTGGGGCCGACAGAGACTCGAAGAGCCGAGCTCTTCTCTTTAACACATAGGTCAGTCTTTCGCCTAAGACCGCTGACTCACACACATGTCGGCACTCCGACACGGGGACGCCTCTCACATAGGACCGCCGATCGCGACGCGCCGCAGGGCTTCTTTTATTTACACCGGGTCCAACCAAAATGTCCAATCAGAAGCGCCGCTGGTCGTCCGTGCAGATTCCGCCAATGGGGGCCGCCGCGCCATGCGTCAGACCACCCGACACGCGGCCGCCGGCTCGCTGTCACGTGCGCCGCTGACTCACTGCACCTGGGCCAGAGGGGCGCCGCGCGTGTTCACGCCGTCGAGGTGATCGCGCCAGGCAGACTGCGGGCTGGCCTTGACCCAGATTGCCTTTTTCCGAGGCACGGACGTTTGACGAGGACTCGCTGGCATAACAATATGCACGCGACGCTATTACCCGAGCTGACCATGCTCGTCAGCTTGCCCGCAGCAGATTAATGGCGTCCCAAGACTCGCCGAAGCATCGTTACGACGAGCGGCATCGCGACGAACACTTTCCGAGAGGTTCCCTTGTTCTTCTTTGGTGCCCTACGCGACATGCAGGGCTTTCAGAAAAACTTCTCTCGCGTTTCACGGGCCCATACCGCGTGCTTAGACGAGTGACCGACACTACATATGAAATTGTACCGGATAATCAATCAACCTCTTCTGCTCTGCTCTTAAGGGACATCGTCCACGTATCAAAGCTTCAACGTTACAACACTGCTCCTGCTGTGGCCCCGTAAACTCGCCGGGTCGGCGCTTTTGCCGCCGGGGGTCGTGTTACGTGATTTCGGCTGACTGAAACAGGGCATAGTGGGACATACCCAAGAAAGGTACCTCAGACTGAGAGTGAAGGAGTGGACGTTGTCGGTGAGTTGCGTTGAGGCTGTAGACTGTCTACTGTTATTTTCCACGTAACAATATAGTAATCATAGCCGACAACAAGGAAGATCTGCAAGAACTAATAGGCATCTGTGATAATGAGGGGGATAGGTTAAATTTGAGGTTCAGCGGAGAAAAAATGGCAATTCTGATTTTTAATTACAACAAAATCACTAAGCTTATAGAGGTACTTACGCTAGAACTAGTGGATGAACACTAATATTTGGGCGTATGGATAAATATTGGTACTGAGTATCTAGAGGAGCACGAAGGATACGTAATGACTGAGAGCCCCAGGAATACAGCTGTAATGAAAAATAGGGCACTGTGGAACTATGATAGGTATGACGTTGTCAAAGGAATTCGGAAAGGTGCCATGGTCTCTGGTTTGACGTTAGGCAATGGGATCTTGTGCATGAAGTCAGAGGTTCAAGCAAAGTTGAAAATTAAACAACGTGACATAAGTAGACTTGCTTTGGGAGCACATGGGAACACCCCAAAGCAGGGGGTCATGGAATGAACATCGTTTGAATGCAGGGAAGCTAGCAGCAAAATAGATTTTGAGGAGCGATTGAGACAAATTGGAGTGGAGCCTTGGGCTAAGAAAGTTTTCAGCTACTTGTACATTGAGAATGTTGATACTAAATGAAGGGAGCAAACTTGAAAATTGTCAAGCAAGTATTTAGACAACAGCAGAGTACCAAGCCGAAAAGAAACATCAGTTACAAGAAGGTCTAGGAAACAAAAAGGGACATTTGGAAGTTGAAAATGATTACAAAATTATCACTGGAGACCTACCGAACTCTAAAACAGGAAATTTTAAGGGAAACATCTACGATGATTCTCGGAGTAGTTCTCTGCTGCTCGAAGCCAGAACGGGAGTGTTTCACACCAAAACGTACCGAGCAAAATATCAAGACACAGACACGGTATGTAGTGCGTTCGGAGAAGAGGAGGAAACGGCTGAACATTTGATAATGTTCTGTAAAGAGCTCCACCCTATAGTTCAAGACAATGGCGCCGAAGTTTTCAAAGCATCGGGGTTTAGGGACAGTGAAGGCAAAAGAGACGTCAAACGGGTAGAAATAACAAGGAGGAGGCTATCTGATTAGTGGCTAAAATCAAAGCACGAGTAAAATAATATTTTTAAACACATAGTGGTAGTATTTAACTTTATGGCTAGGTGGTGTGAGCCGCCACCCAATCTAAAGGGCACAGCCGGATACATCCACCCATCCATCCACGCGGCGGCTTCGCGAATATTGCGTCATGAGCTCTCCTCAGTTTTTCCTTCCTCCTTGCCGGGCTTTTTCCGCCAACGCGTTGACATGTCGCGAGGGGCAGGGGGAGGCCAGGTTCGGTGGAGGAAAAAACTCTATTCCTGCAACTCTGAATGAAGGCGCGTTTCAACGCCTAAGAATAAATGGGGGAAATGAAATAAAGATCTAAAGAATAAAGAATAAAGACGATGTTTTGACGACATTTGCAGTGTAACATGCAGAGACGGGGCCAATTATTTGACTCTATTGTTCCTCAAGGGAATTTCACCTCGATGTTATGACCAGTTAGTGCCTCCATGGAACTTTAATACACTGATCATATGCTCAACTGCTACTCAGTGACAACTTTATAAATGCTGCGCTTAAATGAAAAGGTCAGGTCATGCTGCGTGGAAGAGCATTATTGCGTTTGACTACAGTCAACCACAGTTTATTTATTTACTCATTTATTTAGTTACAGATTACTGCGGTCGAAAGACTAAGCAGGAGGGCAGAATAAAAAGTGATTCACCACGTAAGGTAAATGAAAAGAAGTTTCAAGCAATAAAAGCATGTTAAGGCAGTAGAACACAGGATAACATTTGAACAAAATTAAATGGCAGCAAGAAATTGCAAAGTTCAACCAGAGAATGCAAATCAAGTACAACGTGAGCTAAGGCACGTTGCCGGGCTAGTTGGTTACAACGTGAGACAGTCTGAGATCTTGAGTTGTACAGTTAAAAACGGAAAGATACATAGTTATTGAAGTCAGGATTTTTATTATCACAGAATGCTTCAAAAGGTAACGCGTTCCAATCATTGGTCATCCGAGGAAAGAACGAGTTCATGAAAAGATTAGTACGTGCGAAGTGAGGTTCAAGAGTGTAACTGTGAGTATGTCGAGTTCGTCTTGAGATTCAATTTGTTATATAGGTTTCTGGATACATGTTAAAATTACGGAAATAAAGTGAGTGTAGAAATTTCAGCCTGGCAACAGCTCTTCGGTATTGTAAAGTAGGGATGTCATTAATGGCCATGATCGTTGTTGGCGAGTCATTTCTGTGGTAGGCATTAAAGATAAAGTGAACCGCCTTTCGCTGCACAATCTCAAGCTTCTTAACATCTTTCTTTATATGTGGGTTCCAAACGAAACTCGCATAATCTAACTTTGGTCTTATAAAAGTATTGTAGGCCAAAATGTTGATTTCTAAGGGCGCTGTTCTTGATTTGTGTCTCAAAAAGCGAAGCTTTCTAGAAGCAGATGAGCATGTTTTATTAATGTGGCTTCACCATTTTAGGTGGCTTGTAATTGTGACGCCCAAATATTTATATTCCTTAACCTCAGTCAATGGACTGTTGTTGAGAGATTACGTATAATTAAAACGGTGTTTCTTATTTGTTATATGCATGACAACTGATTTATCGCTACTTAATTTCATTGAGCAATCTTCACATCACTTACAAATGGCCCAAAGGTTGCATTGCAGGCATTTCTGGTCATTCGGAGCAGTAATCGTTTTAAAAAGTATGCAGTCAACTGCAAAAAGCTTTATGTGGACTTGTGATGTGTATATTGATTTAACAATGTCATTCATATACAATAGAAAAAGAATAGGTTCAAAACACTACCTTGAGGAACTACGGATGATACTGGTAGAATACCAGACATGCAGTCATTTACTTTAACATACTGCTTGTGATTGTGAAGGTAAGAACGGATCCAGTCAATGAGGTTAACAGGTAGACCTAGAATGTGTAATTTAGAAATCAGTTTGCTATGCGTGACAAGATCGAAGGCTTTACTAAAATCTAAAAATAGCATCAATTTGATCACCCGTATCAAGCGACGACGTAAACTCATAAATTGTTGTAATTACCTGCGTTGTGGTCGATAATGTTTCCTAAAGCCGTGCTGTAATGGCGACAGCAGGCGGTTTTCTTCAAGAAATGTTGTGATGTAATGTGTGACTATGTGTTATAATAGCTTACATGACGCACACGTTAAGGAAATAGGCCTGTAGTTTGCAATGTTTAAACTATCCCTTTTCTTAAGCACCGGTACTACACGTGCTATGCGCCAGTCATCAGGAATGAAGGAATTTTCGAAGGAGAGGCGAAAAACGTTTGTTAAAATTTTGGCATAGTTGAAACCATGCCAAAAATAGCAGTGATGGTACATCCGTCTTACCTAGCTCGTTTCTTAGGCCACCAATGGTTTTGCAGGGAATATTTAGCTATGATACAATACTTTTTTGCGGAAAGGCGGAAAGACTAAGAGAATATAGGGAAAATACTAATCGCGAAACTCGAAAGTGTCAGTCAGGAAAGCACTTTCGCTACAACAACTAGGAAACACGTGTGCAGGATAAAATAACACACCCACAGGAACAATCCCGTTGTCCTTCTTTCTGTGCATGAAGTTACTAAACAGTTCTTGAAATAACTGCGTATTTCTGCGTGATAATATCTCTATAAAGCAAAAATCATTGTCGGTTCTTTTTTTGGTAGCACTGCACCGAAACAGTTGGAAAGGATATTAATACACATCGAAAGTTGCTGTCTGATCATTCAAGTGAAAAAAAAAACTGAAAATTTCACGCAACGAATACTCACGCTGAAAGTGCACCGGATGTTGACTAACATCGAACAATGTGGTCATCTGCGTATCACCACCCTGCTCATCTATGTCGAAGTCCAGTTGCAATGGAGAGGCAGACACCGGCTTGTGTGAATCCAGTTCCCGTTCGGTATACTTGGTCTCAGGAATGTCTTCACTGCTAGCCGCTTCATCAAACCTACAACAACAACAAAGACGTCTTTCAAATTGAAATAGTGTTTCTGATGTGCATATTCAAGTTTCGATTTGCAATTCTTCCTCGTGTGCCACCTTAATCCACCATGAGAGTAGTGTTTTTGGTCAAAATTCAAGCATACAACACAAGTCTGGCTTTTTGCGGTGGCCTTTGAACATTGGCAATAACTTGCATGTGGCCAAAAAAAAAGTCACGCTACACAGCTTTTTTCACAATAAAATTACTGAATCCTCTGTATACGTATATTTGAGGCAGCCTGCGCCTAACGCTCTTCAATTAGAATTGAACCTGTTATACCAACTTGCCTCTAAAGCAACATAGAAGAAAACAACCCCTAGGCCTGCATCAAATGCGCAGCACAAGTCACAGTAAAAGCTCAATGAGCAGCCTCTAGAAGCCTTTTTAAATACTCCTTGGTTAACTGTTATAAGCAAACTGGCAGGTCATCTCCCTACGCCATAAATGATTATTGTTGTGCAGGCATTTACTCTGCCATTCTTCGTCATTCATCGGTGAAGCGTAATAGCCGTTACACACATGCAAGGAATTTCCTGCAACTTTTTTGTGCTGTGGTGACGACGATGAAGTATTATGCGTATATTCGTATTGTAATAGGTTGTTCCACTCCACGATACACTGTGCAATTACGCAATTTGCATTGTGGGAAGCCTGGCTATTAACTTTCAGTTCGAAACGCTTTATTACGTGCATAATAGCTATTTCATTCCCTACATGAAGGCTGCCTAAGGTCGGTTTGACGCTGAGTTCCAAGCCCCGCCCAGCCGCGGTGGTCTAGTGGCTGAGGTACTCGGCTGCTGACCCGCAGGCCGCGGAGTCAAATCCCGGTGGCAGCGGCTGCATTTTCGATGGAGGTGAAAAAGCTGAAGTCCCGTGTGCTCAGACTTGGGTGCACGCTTATGAACCCTAGGTGGCCGAAATTTCCGGAGCCCTCGACTACGGCGCCTCATATAATCATATGATGCTTTTTGGACGTAATACCCCACATATCAATCAATAAAATTATCAGTTCCACGCACGGGCATAGCTCACTGGTAAAATACTAGGCTGGCACGCAGGAGATCCGGTTTGAAATGCCATTCTGTTCTTGGTGTTTTTCGTTTTTGTTTTTTTTTTCGCTTTGCGCTATAGTGGATACAGACACCTACGGCGGCGGGTGACAGCTACGGCGCATGCGACCCAATTTTTGATGTAAAGCAGCTTTCGCTGTAAAATATGCAATATGTAATGCACAAACTGCTAATGCAGAACACTTGTGTATGACTGTGGTCGCCCGGACATTGTATATATGTCATTTAGCTCTTATTTACCATTTTCTTATTACCTAAAAGTTACAATAATGATAAAAATCACACTGTCACACTTTTTCAAACATTTCATTCTACTTCTCTCATATGTTTCTAAAAAACAAAATACTGCCTCTATCGCTTTTCCTTCTTTATGTGAGCAAAGCATGCAGCTAGGTTTAACTGCAAAAGAGTTGACTGACACCGTAGACGCATGCAGAAAGCATTGTATGAAATGCATGTTCACACTCACATGTCAGCGTAGAAGCGTTGTGTGATGATGCCTGATCGCCCTGTACCAATGTAACTCTGCAGCGCACTCAACATCACTGCAAGCAAGCGTAAAGCCTCACCTTAGAACAATGAAGAAAAGCACCGGAAACAAATGAAGCCTCCAGCACATATCACTTGCCGTTATATCCCAGATTCTGCCGCTATGCGTTAAACACACCGCCTGTACCACTGCGATGGTTCCACTCAAAACTCGATTAAAAGGCTATCCTCTGAAACATTTAGTAAAATATACTTCACAATAAGCCACACCCATGTTTTTCTTTTTGGGGCAACAAGCAGCATTAGTTTTTCGGCGAAAGAATTCCTAACCGTGTCTGCTGGAAGACCCGAGCGGCTGGTAAGAAGTTAAAGATAATGAAAAGTATGTGTGATGCGTTCTTAATCGAGACACTCAATAAAACAATTGCGCAAAGGCTTGCTTTCCGAGGTAAGCACAGCGTTTTGCCTGCAATAGAAGACTTGCTTCTGCACTGCGTATCAAAGAATAGACTGAAGGAAAGAGCAGTGCATAATTCCGAAGAATATGCTCGTGCAACCACTCATCATTGCAAGGTAGAAAGGAATGCCAATTAAAACGGCTAAATAAGGCCCACAGGCGATGGATCCAGTACCTCAACAAGGGTATACGAAAGAAGAATCGCACTGGAGAATAATCTGCCAGACTTCGATGTCTTCTGCAAAAGGAGGATTCTCATGCTGTCATGCACGATTACGACAGTTGAATGAATATATTATTTTTCGGCTGACTGTGCTGATATTCAGATAGGCAAATGTCCAAAGCTGAGCGTTTAATGGTATTATGGCTCCATCTTCATCGATAGAAGATTGTTAGCGTCCCCCAGAAAAAGTTGGTATAATGAAAAAAAAGATCTCTGAATTCATTTCCCTCAAAAATAAAAACTTTGCTACCAACTGAATACTCCAACTTAGTTATTTACTTAGTAAAATCTTGGTGCCCTACACTCTAAGCCAAAAATGGCCGAAATGGGAGCAACGGCTGTTTTTACTCCTTCAGACCGACTGTTACTCTCAGAAAAGACCAAGCGGAACAAGATGGCCGACTTGTTCGAGAATGGGGGAGCAACTGTATTCATCTTAAGTTTGTAAGGGAGCAACGGAAGGAAGAACCGCTGTAAATGCTCTCGTCACGCAACGGTTACTCCCCGGCAGGACACCGCACACAAATATGCATGCCGCCCACATTGATATTCATGGGCCAGATTATTGTTTGTTCTGTGTGCCAAACTTCACCAAACCAAAACAGTGATTTATTTTAGCATCCGTAGATAATAAGATAGCAGCGCTGGCTGAACACAGAAGGCCTGAGAATACAGTACGGCAAATACCTAACACACGCAGCAGCAGAATGGAGAGTTGGCACGTCAAAGCGGACCGAACGCCGAAACACGTGCAAAACAACGATAAAAATAGCCTAGACACGCCGTTCGTCCGCGAAGTAAGGGCGTCAAAGTCGATCAAGCACCGAAACACGTGCAAAAAAAGCCCCCCCCCCCCCCCCGCCCAGATATATCGGAGAAGAAAAAAAAAAAAAAGCGGACCCAGACGCGCTTCTCATCAGCCATACACTTAGTAGCACGCTTCACCGTGTAGTTTGAGGGCAGAATGACAAATCTGCGCCATCTGCGCCCGCACGACAAGTGTGGCGCTAGCGTAGCAAACGATGTAAGTTACAAAGTAATTTTTATTCAGTGTTTATGTTGACTAGCACTGAATAAAAATTATACTCAACTTTTTATGTTTATTTATGGGTTTTAGTGTACCTCAGTTTTTTTTATAATTGTATTAGGAGAACACACTGAAATCATTGCGCTGACGCCTGTGCTGCCACTGCTCGACGTTTTTTTTTTTTTCGGTGCAACTAGGTTCGCGTTCGCACTACTCATGTTCATTTGGTCTGTAGTCGGCGAGCACATGGACGTGCGGGCTTGTGAGTTATGTTTTGATCGTGTGTGTGTGTCGCAGATTTGCGTTTCTACTTATTCGTGATGAAGGTTAGTGTATATTTATCTTTATGGAGCGCGAAGTAGTTGTGGATTTTGCTGCCGGGTGGAACAAACACATCGTAAACACGTCTTCAGCTATCTGCAAGCCTGTTCGCTCGTCGGACAAAGGACTGTGCATGCATCAGCGTGCAGGTGAGTGGCATTTCCAGCAAGATTTAATGCTCTTACAATACATTGTTGAGTGGTTGCGCTATTGAAAGAGAAATGATTTGCTCTTATTCGCCGTATCCATTGCTTGCCGTATCGGACTAAATTACCTCTATTACCGCCTGCATACCCTCTTGCTTCCCCTGTCACCACTGCAGTGCCAGTGTACTTTTGCAGTTAAAAGTTCATTTCCGCAACACTACCTCGCTTGAAAAAACATTGGGGCGGGGTTGTAGCTGCATTCATACTGGCACCTTTCTACCATTGGCTTTATGTAATGTTAACGGCTGAGTGTTGGGGCCTTGGGCCGCATTTTTTAGAGCTGTAAAGTGTATGTAAATCAGTAAGTGAACAAATCATTGTCGCATCACTTCACTGGCATAGCCAGGCGGTTGCGCACAGAATTTTTTTAGGCCGGGCGTAGGGAGCCCAAATTGACGACCATATTCGCTTGCCCGGCCTATTCAGATAAGCGGACCCCCCCCCCCCCCCCCCCCCCCCCTTCCCGCACGCCTAAAAAAAAAAAAAAATCTGCCCACATCACTGCGTCACTTGCTTCACCTCTGCGCTGAACGTACTATTTTATAGGCGCACCATCAAGCGAGCAGTTTACATATTGACAGAACAATTGGAGGAGGAATGACCCAAATCTTTCAGATTTCTTTAGAGATGCAAAACCTTAGCAAAACTGAATATTGTAAAAGACAATCATAAGTGCTGTATGTTCTCGTTAGCGTTGTCATTATTCTGCATCATGAAATCTTTATGCGCTGTGAAAACTTGGCATGCCGTTGAAGTCACATATCGACGTTAATACCAATCGACGAAAATTTCGACAACCTCAATAACACCGTTTGGGATTTGCCGCATGCACATAATTAGGCTGATTCCCACTTGGCTGTTCATAACCTGACTTCACTGCTACCAAATGAAACAATATTTGATGCATGTCTTTTACTTTTTTTTCAGGGATATGACACAAATTTGGTTATACTGCAGATGCTCCCAACGATGCTAAAGTACAGAAAGCAAGTGAATTTTGGTAAGTGCAGACTTTTTGTACTACGTATATGAAAGCATCGCTTTTTAGGGGCAAACTGTGCATGTGTTGGCCAGAGAATAGTTCATCATGCCACATGGTTACACTGGCACTGACAATTCGACATGGCTCCGCTGGCCCGTGTGTGTGCTCACACTGTTACCGTTAAGATAAAATGTTATGTTTTCATTGCAGGGATTGCTGTTTGTACTAAAAAGCCAACTGCCAAGATTTGTTTACGCTGGTACTCCTAAAAGTATGCTTTCCCTATTTACATGGATTTTGGCTTGCACAAAGCATAACACTTGGGCCTAGATTCACAAAGCTGTCCATGCGCAGGCCTTCATAACAGCGTTTCTTGACTTGCCTTTACCCTGTTTTCTGCAGATGTTTCGAGGGTTTAAAAGTGCCACAGCATGTTGACCTCCCCCACTCTGAAATATTCGCGTTCAAAGTTCCGCAAGAGTGGGCTTAACTTTCTTGTGCACCTCTTTGCTAGTCCAAGATACTGAAGCGTTATGCTCTTACTAGAGGTGGCAGTGTTTCTAATGTTTGTATTCCATCACATTCACCAAGTATGCGATCTTGGCTTGACTGGTAGCACATCCTCAACAAATGTCTTTGTGGCACATGTAGAAGGCAGTACAAAATAAATAGGCAGACATTCACACCGGGAGCTAACTTCTAATAATTCTTTTTTTTTGGAAACTACGGTGTGCTTATTCCAATTTGTCTAACAAGCAGTAACCTGTTTGGCTGTGAACCAACAAGACGTTGAACTAATAGAAGCATCACATCTTGTTGCTCTCAAATATATATGTATTGGCAACCTATCTGTGACACTGTCAAACAAAGAATCAGAATATCTGTGCATGCCTTAAGATATATTGCTTCCTCGACAACCGAGTGAACAAATGCACCCTAGTTTACTAAATTTAAAGCATTTTTTCAAGGTAGCACGGTCTACATTTTTTGTCTATAGTTTTGTCCAGCCGTTTGCGTCAGGTACAAAGAAATATACTGAAGATTATCATGTAGCCTCTGCAAATGGTTGCTTTCAAGCAGGCTTTGCCTGCTTGGCTTGTGCCTACAGGTATTGCACAATTCAAGACGCAGCAGCGTATGATAGAACAGTAGAATCGAGAGCATCTATGTGCACGAGCTAAATAAGTATTTTAACATGAGCGGACAGTACGTGTTATTTGCCACACACATGACCACACTTAGAATGCCCATTGGTGAATGGGCTCATAGAAATGTCACTCAGCTGTGTATAGGAAACAAGTTAGCTGAACCTAAGGGTATCTTTAACTGCTACAAATATGCCTTGTTGAGGTGCTGCACATTTTCTTCCAAAATATTGCTGTCTGAGACATCATGTGAAGAGCGTCTATCACATCAGCATTTATATGGCTTGCCAAGTAACGTTTGGCCGAACCTTCCTTTTTTTCACATTTCGTTTTGCAGTAGACATCCTAGAATGTAAGCGCTGCTGCAGTGTGTGTGACTCATTGTTATGAATTGATTCTGGCATGTTTAACCTCACACTTCTATTTTTTTTCTTGCAGCAATGAGATGCTTCACATATGCCTTTGTGACGTTCCGCTGCGCTAGCCTGATGGAAACACCAGCTGCGAAACTTGAGTTCTTCAGAATTGGAGAAGTTGCCCTTCTCTCACCAATGATGACACAGACTGCCCTATGCTGGAAATTCAAGATTGTTTTTCCACGGATGACGCAGAAAACCTTTGATGTATTGTGTTTGTTTAGTGCTGGCTGTGGTGTGGCGAAGTCTACTTTTACGTGTGGTCACACGTCGCCTCATAAAAAGAACAATAAAGCATTTATTTTCCTTTCAATATTGTCCACTTTTTGTGTTAGAAGCACCCAAGCAGTGCTCTTCCAAGGAGCTCTCGCCATGTGTTAAGCGTGTGACAAGCATACTCGAGATAAATACTCATTTCCCCAAGGAGTAACTGGAAGCATGTGCAGTTGGTTTTCAGAGAGTAACTGCGAACACGTGGGAGGAACGGTAAAGAGTAACTGTTGCTCTTAGAAGAGCAACTGGTGGGAGTAATGGTTGGTCGGCAGGGAGCAACTGGTGGGAGTAACTGTTGGTCTGCAGGGAGGAACTGGAGGGAGTAACTGTTCATCCCCCGAAGGAGGAACTGAAAGGAGAGCAACGGTTCCTCCCTCTGCAGTTACTCCTTTTAGGAGAGTAATGGGAGTGGCAATGCAATTGCTCCCTGAAAGGAGCAACCCCTATACCCCTGTTGCTCCGTTTTGGCTTAGAGTGTAATGCTTCCCAATGGTGTGTTATTTCGACCTTACGACAGGTTAGTGCCAGCGTGAAACCGCATTACACTGATCATATTTCCCAACTCTCACAGTGACAATGTAGTTAATTTTGGAGTTAACAAAAAAGGACGGTCTGGATGTGTTGCCTTTTAGTGGATAAACGAATTTGACTGAATTTCAAATGTACAGTTGACAGTTGCAAACATGACGAATGTAACACTGATGTAACTCAGATCTGTCTATGTCCAATGCCCATGTGGGGAAATCGCAGCTGATATATGAAATATATTTTTGGGAGGCATAAGAAGAGATTGCACCTAAACTTTTTTTTTTCACAAAAACTGAAAGTGCCTGTCAGGGAAGCAATTTCGCAAAAGTGACACAAAGCACATTTGCACAACAAAGAAGGCACCATCACACAAACTGTCCTTGGGTCTTCCTGTACATGCCATCACTACACTTTTCTTGAAATTAGTCAATATCATGCATACTTGTCAATGCTGGGAACCACCGACTCCAAACAAGTTACAAGAGCAACACTGTTCATTGAAAGTAATGTTTAAAAAATGTAGTGGCAAAAACACCACAGTTGAGGCAACAAGTACTCACGCTTAAAGTACACCAGGTTTTGACTGACGCTGAACAATATAAGTATCTGTGTGTCACCACCTTGCTTAACTATGTAGAATTCCAACTGCGAGGGAGACGCAGGCACTGATATGTGCGGATCCGCTTCCCGTTTGGCGTCCTTGGTCTCACGAATGCCTTCACCGCTAGTCTCATTATGAAATCTACAATAACAACAAAAAACACATTCTTCAAACCAATGTGATGTTCATCAGCTGCGCAAACCTTTTTTTTATTTGCATTTACCCATGACATGTAACTTTATTCTTCAAAAACAGTAACTTTTTTTGCCAAAAAGCACTACTGGTGTGACTTTCTGCGATGATCATTATACATTGAGAATGACTTTTATATGGCCATAAATGAATCACCATTCATAGTTTTGTCCACAAAAAAATTATTGTAGGCTCTGTAGCTGTATCATTCAGTCTACATCTGCTTAATATTGTTTTCTTCAAATTAAACCTGTTATCTCAAGAAGGCACCGAAATATATTAAAAAGAAATAATTGTTTTATACAACCGTCACTTTTGTAAATTCACAATGTACAAAGTTTTTAGAATACGAAAATTTTTTCTTTCATATAAAAGATATGCATGAGCAGTGTGCTCACACTCTTTAAGCTTCTGGGCCGGAAAAGTGTATTTATATATTTTATACATCCCATTCACAAAATCTGCAAGCTTTCCTTTTTTTCTTCGCAGATTAAATATATATCTATAGCAATCTTTTTTTTCCGTGGTTAGCCCTGACGAAGGGAATTTTGAACTGCGCTAAATCTTGCTGCTCTAGTTCACACACAATCTTGTGATTTGCCTTAAAGTTTCATTTTTAGCAAATGTTAGCAGTACATGCAGGTCAATTTTTTTTCCAATAACATTGTTTCGAAATTTCTTCAGCTGCAGTTCGCAGATCTTGTAAAAAAATATAGTCAATACCTCTGCCATAGGAATGGCTACAATAGGAAAGTTGAACTTGCTCATACAGAAGCACTTCAATATTTGCTGTAGACTGATATAAGGGAGCTTGCGGCATGCACGCCGTACCGTGGAGCTTCCTAATCTAACTGCAGCGCCAGAACGCAAAGCTTTGCGGATGAAAAAAGAAACAATAATATGGTGATCGTGAAAACAAGGAGTTTTCAACTAGGGGGTTCAAAAATAGCCCAACACAAGCCCTTGTGGTTTCGTCGCTGCCACTGCGCATGCGTCGTAACGCGAGTCGCTGTTCTTGTTAGTGGCCCACCCATAGAAAATCCGAAATAGCAACCGCGTGTGCAGCCCACTTGCGGCCCGCAAACACTGGTTTCGAGGCTACAGTGTCACTGCGAATGTCCGTATCGGTTTGCAGGAGGGCAAACACATTTATAAAACTCATATGGTGCCCACTATGTCGGCGACGCCCACAGTGTCCGCAAACGTTATTCTAAATCTCCGTATAAGCGTTAGCAGGCGTTGCAGGTGCCATACAAGTTTCGAAATAACGTGCCCCCCCCCCCCGGTTCCTCTTCGCAAACCCAAATGCACAAAGGTAGCTACACGACATTTTCGACACCAGCACTTTGCGGGCCTCCCAGGCCACACGCGTCGCATGCTTCTTCGGATTTTTTTGCGGGAGGACCACGAGCGCAAAAATCAGCTAGCGTTACGACACTTTCCCAAATGGAACGCGAAGCGCGCGTCTCCCATCCTGCAGGAGTGGGCGGATCGTAGCTGAGCTGCATGGGTGACGCGTGCGCGCGTCTGTTTTCGGCGTGCCCCTTGCGGCAAAAGTTAGCGAACTGGAAACGGAGCAGGGCGAGGAACGCAGCTCCCTCTGTTTAGTGTGCAGTGCCTATGTCTCTCGGTGTTTGACAGCTATGGCACCATGAAACATTAACGCACAAACGTTAATGCTTGATGATACATCTACACTCAGACGAATAACGTACATGATAAATCCATAAACAAACCTAACAAACCTGCACTACTATAGATGCTGGTAATAGCTGCAGTCCGTTCGCATGCGAATTGGTTTCAGTTAAGCAAGCGCACCCAACATGCACGTTTTTGCTCGAGAATTGAAGGCTTTTTTGAACATGGTTTGATTAGAAAGAGCTAGGGCTTGAAGGTAATGGAGTGTATCTTAGTAATTTGCGATTCGCTACTGCCGTCATGAGTAACTCAGATGAAGAATTACTGCTCATTATTACTGAACAGGACACGGAAAGGAAACCAGTAGGTCTGAAAATAATATGCATCAAACTAATATAATGTATAATAGCGTTAAGAGAAAACAGCGCTTTGCGATAGGTGTTGAGACGCTGAAACTTGTAAAAAATAGGCTATTATAGATCTAATCGAAAGCTATGAAAAGCCTAGTGATTCTCACGAGTGCGCCAGCACAGGTAAAATAAATGAAACCATTGCTGTGCTTTTCTACCAGTGTCATTAAAACAGCAATCCGCTAGCGGTTCAAGCTCGCGTGCAGTCCGAGCACCATCCAGTAATGATTCCACTTCTTTTTTGGGAAGCAACGATTGATTGAATAATTGATCAATTGATTGATTGATTTGTGGGGTTTAACGTCCCAAAACCACCATATGATTATGAGAGACGCCGTAGTGGAGGGCTCCGGAAATTTCGACCACCTGGGGTTCTGTAGCGTGCACCCAAATTTGAGCACACGGGCCTACAACATTTCCGCCTCCATCGGAAATGCAGCCCCCCGCAGCCGGGATTCGAACCCGCGACCTGCGGGTCAGCAGCCGAGTACCTTAGCCACTAGACCACCACGGCGGGGCTTTTTGGGAAGCAACGAACTATTACTAATAGGAAGAACGCTGGTAGCAGCTTTATGGAAGCAGGGATATATAAATTTTGCAAAAAAGGCACGGTCATGCTGAAACTACATGACAGGAAATGCGACGCAAATGGCACGAAACCATGCCCTATATTTGGTGAATACATGGTTGATATTGTCGTTCTCCTCTTTTTAGAACACAGGAAAATTCCTGAGACACCTATATTATTTTGTTTGTGAACGCGAAGGCATCGATGGGTCACAGATATCTTGTCATGAGCATGTCAGGAGCAGCCATCACATATGCATAAATACAAGCAGTCGAAGCGCAGTTCTTGCTCTGTCAAGAATGCCTAATAACATGAACGCGCGTATTGCCCAGGCGGAGCTTTGCCATGGTTGTTTTCGTCTCGAAAACCGCTGTTGTTCAGCACCGAGGCACAGTAACCGCTGTGATCGCACATTGCCAAAAACCACTCTCACCGTTGACGCCGATGGCTACACTGTTACACAAAGTGATCTTTAGCGAGATTGTATCAGCAATAGTAGGAGGAGGAGGAGGATTAAACATTTATTCAAATGGTAGGCAACCGAAAAACTGCACCATCTCTCGCTAAAAGGGACACAATGAGGCGATCTGAAGCAGCGCGGACAGTGCACATCCCCTTTGCATCGGTTTGACTACGTGTTCCCGTGTTTGCTTGCGGACGCTCCCTTTGCGTTTGGGCACGTCGAAGCCGCGTTTCATTCGTAGCAGTTTCTCGCCAACGTGAGGGGGGGGGGGAGGTTGACTACGGCGCAGCACTCAAGCCACCACCTCCAGTCCACCTCTTCGTGCTCCACGCGCTCCACCACCAGGCGTTCAGCAAGCCGAGCATGCGCAGAGGGAGTACGGACCTCTGCCCCGTGTTTTTCTTTCTCGAACGCGGGTGGTGCGTATATAGGCGGCAGGAGCACGCATTCATAATCAAGTCAAGGGCGTCCTTACTTGACTTAAGTTTGACTTGACGCTTTGCTTGGCTCGAGTAGATACGATGGAAGCAGCTGTACCTTCAACCAGTAGGGAGACATAACCTATCACCGTGCCATTCAACGATTCTCCTTGTTTTATTAAACAGCAATAATAAAGACAAAATGACAAGTAAGCATTCCTAAACTATACTCCATTAGGCAACAATCACTTGATACCCCCCACTCCACGTCGCATTAGTGCGTACTAAAATAGCATTAGCAGGCGTTGCGCGCTTAGCAGGGCGCCATTATGAGTTTTATAATAGCGAACAAACAAAAAACACCACACCGAATAAGCTTTTGCGATAACAATGAGAGCAATATTGAGCATAACAACAATGTATTTTGTTTTATTGTTTCCCTCTATGCTACGTAATATACTATAATAATTAGCGTTCACGCACCTACGTGTAGAAACGTAGCAAAATAGTGCGAGCTTTGGCTTTGTAGTCTTGGCTGTGCTGCCCCACAAAGCCGTGGGGAGGTTAGTGTCACGTACAAAAATGTCGTAGGTTCTACCCTCATTCACGGAACTTTCTTTACTTTCGTCATCGAGCGTATTTCTTCGACGTCACTTGCGTGATGGAAATACGTCACTTATGTCTTACCTGATGCAAACATAAAACACTTTCATGTTAATAAATTGTGGTATATATATCAGCCTGAAGAGGCAGGTCACGGGAAGAGAAAATCACTACACGAGCATCGCCTTCTCTGCATTGGCTTACGAGCCCATTCATGAGCATATATAGCGAGCAGGTTAAAAAAATTCCAAGCATTAGTCGAGGACAAAGCACTCAGAAGTGTCGCCAGCGTTAGACAGATTTAGCTGAGCACACGCAGAAGCTCAGCTGACACAGCCTGGCAGGCTGCGTCATCAGAGCGTTTGTGGATGATCAACTATAAGTTTATTACTGGCTGAATTGTAGACGAAACCAAACGCATGTTCGATATCACATGTCAAGGAACTAACGAACAAAAAGAACGCGAAACCCACAGCAGGGCCAACGCAAGCCGCTCATAGAACACGCATTCGGGCCACTCATGACCCCCCTTTGTGCCATCGCACAATCCCATGCAAGCTCTGGCACTGATGGTCACTAATGATGTCGAGGAATTAGCTGGAGAAATAAACGCCTCGGATACTTTCGCGTGTGATTGATTAAGGTATTTACGATTTATCGATGTCATCAAAGAGCACACTTACCGTCCAGCATCGCCCTTGTAACGAAGATTGGTGACCGACACGCTGTGCCTGCTGAATCCATACCGACCTCGCAACATTGTCACTCGAATGCTTGAACTCATCGTATGATAAGTTCGCGCAAAATTCATTGCATGCGCGTTTCACC